TCATGGCCTTTTTTTCCAACAGCTCTTACATCTGTGTTCCTTTAGCCCCCTCCCTTCTCTAACCCAGGAGCCACTTCGCTGAGATCTCTCCTAGCTCCCATTCCCCATAGGTCTCCCCTGCAGAGTAAAGCTCTCTACTCCTTGATGGTGGGCAGATCAGCCACTTGCCCCCATGTTACCCCTGCTTTGTCTTGGAGGTGCCCTTCCTCATGCTGCCCAGTCTTCCTGTCCTGTCTGTACCTCCTTGAGGGGTTTTCTCTTCTTTCTGTGTCCTGGACTTGGGGTTCAGGGATTAGTTGCAGATCATCTCCCTTTCCCAACTCTCCCAGAAAGCCCAGAGCCAGGGTTTAGGTATGACCCTTTACCCTGCCTCTGTTTCCCAAGCTTTGCGTCTAGAGACCCAGTGGCCGCCAGGTTTTTCAGTTACTGAGTGTCCTACCTTGAGACATCTGAGCTGCTTAGTTTTTTGTCAACTTGACACAGTCTAGAGCTATCTGAGAAAAGGGAACCTCAGCTGAGAAAAATGACCCCATCAACTGGCCTGACGGCAATTTCTGTGGGGCATCTTCTTGATTGATGATTAATGTGGGACATTGTGAACGGTGCCACCCCTGAGCAGGTGGTCCTGGGTTGCATAAGAAGTAGGCTGAGGAAGCCATGAGGAGGAGGCCTGGAAACAGCATTGCTCCATGGCCCTTGCTTCAGTTCCTGCCTCTAGGGTCCTGCCCTATCTTCCCTCTGTGGTGGACTACAAGCTGTAAGATGAAATAAACCCTTTCCTCTCCAAGTTGCTTTTGGTCGTAGTGTTTTGTCACCAAAATAGAAAGCAGACTAGGACACCATCTTGTCTTAAAGAGTGGTGGCCATCCACTGCTTCCCCCTTGGCCTCCCTTGTCTCACTGCTGTTCCTGTGGACCTTCCCACCTCATCTGAGGGGTCCACGGCCCTCTTACTTTGGTCACCTTCTGCCTCTGCCACTTTCAAACTCTTCCATCCTCGCCCCTGACACTTCTTACGTTGATCCCAGCTGCCCCCATTTGCTAAGGCGAAGTCTGCACCGAGCACCCCACATTGTCCCATCTTTATAATCCAGTCTTAATAACAGCTGAAGCTGGGCCTCTAGAGTCATCTGTCTGACCTAACCGGGAACCACTGCCCTTTAGAGTCTTCTCAGTGCAGCCACTCACACCGCAAAGCGCATGCTTGGCCTCCCCTGCACCTCTGCTTCTGCCCTGGCCACACACACGCCCCACAGAACCCTTTCTAGCCTCCAGCTTTTTCTCTGGGTTGACTTTCTGCCCCCAAGGCCTATCCCCCTTTCCCTCTCTCTCTCCCTCTCTCCTCTCTGCCTTCTTTGCTAACTTTCTTCCTACCGTTCAATAACCCCACCCATCCCCACATTCTGGTGTTAACCCAAGTGAGTGTCCTACTGTGTCTTGGGACTTCACTGTTCTCTCCATGACTGACAGTTTCCTTATGTCCCTCTCCACTGGGTCCTGAGCTCTTATGGGACCTCTAAACTTGGCACAGCATCCACCATCCCAGTGGTGTGGAGTAAGCACTTGAATATAGTGATCCTTGAGTGGCTCTGAATTGGAGCTGGACTTAATAAAGCTGGAAGGAATTCGGTGGTGATATTGGGACTCTGGGAGATCCAAGGGCTAGCATGGAGGCTTCCAGGTTCCTACCCAAGCTCCATCACTTGCTAATGCGACTTTAGCCAAGTTCCTTAACCTGGTTGTACCTCAGTTTCTCCATCCTTGAAGCAATAATAATGTGTCCCTGCCTCAAGGCTCATGGGATGCGTTAGATGCTTTCGCGCCTGGGCAGCCTTTGAAGGGAGGTATCATTAATGCCTTTTTATAGATGAGAAAGCTAAGGCCCAGAGAGGTGATATTCCCCAACCAAGGAGGAGCACCAGGCTGGAAAGAGCTGGGCTTGAGCCCAGCTGTTTGGTGTGTGCCAAGGACTGGAGACACCTGGCCCTATCTCTCCAGGCTGAGATCTCAGCCTCTAGGGGGAAGTCTCCAGAAAGATGTTAAAAGGTGCTCTCTCTGAATCTACTCCAATGCTCATAGTGCTCAGTTAGTGTGAATTGTATACACTCATCTCCCCAAGGAGCTCTGGCTAGTCCTGAGTGCTGAGTGTGTCCGCTCTGGGCACAGTGTCCAGAGGTCCGGTCCTGGGTCCTTGCCGTCCAGCCTGTTGGCAGCGAGCTCTTCCTCATTCAGCCGCCTCTTGTGCTCCAGTGCTTTATGGGGGAGGGTCATTAAGAAAGCTTTTTCCCAGGAAGAGCTGTGCCTTCCCTGAGTCTCTGCTGTGGAGTGCCCCAGCCCCCACACTCTCAAAAGCTGCCCTTGTGGATTTCAAAACAACCCCACAGCCCAGCAAACTGAGAACCCCACCCACTGAGCCCACTTTTCTCCAGAACCTTCTGGATGACAGTCATCCCTGGTTCAATGTAAAGAAAATTGTTTGAAGATGTTTTCAAATAGAGTCTGGTGGAACAAAAGAGCAGTTCATCCGCTGTGGCTTTTTTGTGTGCTGCTTCCCAATTGGGAAATGAGATTGTTCAGTTAAGTGAGAGGGTGCCAGAGGCCTCTGAGCCTTGCAGCTTCCACAATGCAGCCAGCTCCCTCCTAGCAGGCCTGCTCCCTCCTCCCTCTCTGTTTTCAGACTTCAGATCCCCAATTCATCAGACAAGTCCACCAATAAGAACACACACACACACACACACACACACACACACACACACACCCTTACTAGCTTGGTGACCTGTATGTTTTCATGAGCTGTCCCAAACCTAGAATAGACAACTGCAGAGCATGTCATGTCATATCCATGGATCTAAGGTCTTGTGTAAGTCATTCCTCCTTTCCAACCAATGGGCTGTCCTTTGGGTGTTTGGAGTAGCAATTTGTATGACTATAGATGAATACCTGCTGCTGGCTTCCTAATATGCAGACAAGAGAGGCATTGGGCACCCTGAAATTCCATGCACAATTTAGGGAGTGACGATACTTCTAGCGAGAATTTCCATCCCTGCAGTAACTCCTTCAAAGCAGCAAGAAAAGAATATTTCTGCTTTCCATCTTTGAGATCTTTAGAGGGGGGAGATGCTTACTATTGCAGCAAAACTCAACACATCCTGACTGCTACAGAAGCCCCAAAAACTTTCTGTAAGAAATTATAGGTAAGATAAACTTTGAAGGGTGAGTAGAACTGAGCCAGGAGAGGAAGGGAGAGGAAATTTCATCCTCAATTCCTGTCAAGAAAGTGGCAAAGTTAAAAATAACTCAAATGGCCATTGTCACTCTCTTCTCATTACTGGGGTCCTGCTTCCATGAGTCCAAGCCTTTTTCATTTGGTAAGAAATCCACATAAGACATGGCCCAGTGCTCCCAGGATTTATTGGGTCAAGATGCCTCTCAGTTTCCACACTAGACTTTCTTGAAAGTCTTTGTGAGGTGTGAGATCCTCCAATGAATTCAGGCTTAAGACTGCTCAAGCACTTGAAGCAAGAACCATGGTTGTTGTTGGGACTGGCCAGTTGACTTCTTTCTTCTTACTTAACTTGCACTCCTCTTTTGCCTAGCTTAGCCTAGTTGAACATACTGACCTATTCTCGGAACCTGAGGTAGTGCCCAGCACATATTAGGCCCCTAGGAGATATGTACCGTTTCTTCCATGCGCTGGTTTCTAGTAACCCGGTGGCTGCCCACAGTCTGATTTTGTTTGGGGGCCTGCCTGATTTCTCCAGCAGGGCCTGGGGCTGCAGGGAGCCTGCTGACCAGTGCTAATTGGTGTCATTGAGTAATTAATGCAGAATCAGGCCCGAGCTGATTCCCAGGGAGACAGACACTGAGGGTGGCTTTCATGCTTGGTGGGATGGGAGTTCCTTTCTCCGGGGACATTCTCAGAGCACTAAAGGCGACTGGCACCGTCTGGTGGGGGTGGCTTGGCAGCCAGAATGGGGTTCGTGGAGCAAGTGTAGAGGGGGTTTGTGCTGGTGCCACGGTTGGACACAATATGGAGCGTGGCAAGTTTGACTTTAAAGAAACACAACCCCAGGGTGGGCTCTGGGAGCCAGGCATGCGTCAGCTCTGAAGAATTGATGGGCCCTTGGAGAAGACCATGGTGGAGACATTTACAGTGTATCTGGTATCCTCGCTGCTCTATGACCTGGGTCCTCTTGGTATGGGCACCCCTACCCCTTAGCATGAGTCCTCCTCTCCCTTGGCATGGATTCCTCCTCTGTCTACTCCTTCCACCATTCTGTCTGTCCTCTGTGCCCCATGCCTGTCTCCCCAAATGCACCACACTCTTATCTCTAGAGGTCTAAAGGTTTCACTTATTTTAGAACAGTCACCACTCCTTCCTTCAGAGTGTAGATCCTACACTCCTTCTCCCAGGAAGCTTCCAGGGGTTCCAGCACCAGCGAAGATTGGTTGAGTTATGTTGCAGTAACAAGTGCTCCATAGACCTGAGTGATGCAAACCACAGTCTTCACTTATTGCTCGCACTGTGTCTTGGCCTACTGGAAGCCTCACCTTGACACTTCTATAATCACAGCAAAGGGAGAAAGGGGGAGTTGGAGAGCCACAGCACCTGGCTTTAGAAGCTTCTCTCTGACTTGACACATGTTCCTTAGTCCTGTGGCCGCCCTTGAGTTCAGCAGGGCAGCAATGTGTAATCTCCTCTTGAAGACACAGACTATTTACACAGCAGTGCAGTCTTCTAGATACATCAGACTCTATAGGGTGATTCCTAAGTGCATTTTGTCATGTTTTTTGTTTTGTTTTGTTTGTTTACTTTCCTCCAGAGCATGGTTCCACAAAGCCACAGGCTGGGTCTTATCCTTTTCGGAGGCTCCTGCCCAGCCCACTGGCTCACAGTTGGTGAATGATGGAGGATGGTGGGTGGCGGTATTGGAGGACAGCCCATCCTTGTTCCTCTATTGGGACATCTTCGATCCAGTGACTCCCACCCTCTCTCCTCAGACGCCGGGTCCTGGCTATATCTGATGGTATCGAGCACATTGGGAACCTCCGTTGGGAGCTGGCATTGTGTCTCCTGGCAGCCTGGACCATCTGCTACTTCTGCATCTGGAAGGGTACCAAGTCGACTGGAAAGGTAAGAGGTTAACTGTTGAACAGCTAGCCTCACGCAGAAGCTGGTTTTTGCACAAGCTAACAAGTGACCCAGAGACCACCAAGAAGTTCATGTTGGAAACACCAGCTCTAAATTGAGAGGTAGGAAGAGCACTGGGCAGGGAGTCTACCTGGGAGGCAAGAGCTAGCTCCTTCATACAGCTGCCACACACTTCAGGGCTATTCTGCCTTGCTTAAGCTTTGGTTTTCTTCTCCGTGAAATAACAACGCCTTATCCCACCTTTCTGGGTGAGTCAAGAGTCACATAAAGTAAGGTAGGATGAGATGTATTGAAACCTGGAATATGCCAAACCACTAGGACTATACTTCTTATGCTACTGAGCATGACTCCAGTTACATACCGGGGCAGACAATGCTGGCCTCCCCACTAGCCATCCTAGATGTCTGTGTCTCATGTTCCTGCAGTGTGGAGAGGCAACAATGACTTCTGTCTTGCAGCCTTGCTGTGCCAGCTGTACCAGGTGGCCTCCAGGGTCACAGGGGAGGAGAAAAGGGAGATAGTAGCCAACTCTTAGCCGCCTAGGGGATTGTATGAGTCTCCTCCACTTGAAGGCTGCTGGTAAGAACCTGGGCCACAGCCTCTTCCAACCACAGAGGGGCTTGGAAAGCACAGGGGGCCTTGGGTCAGAACACCACAGAGACTGTGCCACCACAAGATGGACAGAGGAATCCAAGTGTGACATTTGTGACCATGTCCAGCTCACTTGTGTGGTTTGCAAACAAAAGGAAGGAAGGAAGGCTGAGAAGGAACTGAAGGAGAAGTGTTAATTCATTGGCAATGTTTAGAACCCAGGTGTTCTGGTTGACCACCATCCCCCACTGCGCCCTGCTGCTCCTGCTCCTGTGGCTGAGTATCAAGACCATTAGTCTCTTGTCTGTAGCTCATTTATTTTCTTATGAGAAATAGGAAAGGAAACATACCTTGTACCTGAGCCTCCCTGACTCCGTCACTTTTCATGGGCGTGGGTGACATGGGTAGTTGCTTGTTACCTGTGCTTTAAGGTCTTGCCTGGGACAAGAGCTAGAGGCGAATCCTCCAAGGACAGAGGGATCAGTAACTCTGAGCCCTTTGGGGAAAGCTGCTCCCCTGACGCCCCTCAGGGGTGAGTGGAATGAAGAAACTGCTAGCACCTGGGAGACAAGGTAGCCCACAGGAGGGAAGCTGGGAAAACAGGGACAGAGAAGAAGGGCACATGAGTGAAGCAGGGCGTGCTGGGAGACGGTCATGGAGTTACCTGGGAAGGCCAGCAAGGAGAACAAGGACATTTCTGGCCCTCTAGCTATGGTGATCAGCTAGCCTTTGCTTCCATGGGTTAGGGTGCCATAAAGGCAATAGGACTCCTCTGTTTTTGCTGTGCTTTAGACTGCCACCTTGCTCTCCCCTGTGTTCCTCCTTGCTGCCTTCTCTAGCTGAAGAAGAGGATAACTGGATGATTAAGAGCCTGCCTTAGTGGCTGGAGAGCTTTGCTAAGCAGTTGAAAGTGCTTGGTGCTCTTCCAAGGGACCTGAGTTCAGCTCCAAGCACCCATGTTGAGTGGTTCACAGCCTCCTATAACTCCAGCTCCATGGAATCTGGTGCCTCTGGCATCCACACGCACCTGTGTTCACATATGCACACACACACACACACACACACACACACACACACACACACACACACACGCATGCTTGCGTACATGTGCACACTTTTAAAAATACATCTTGAAGACAACAACAACAACAACAACAAAAAAAAAAACTGGACTCAATCACCATGAATCAATCACCCGGAATCAGTATTCAATCACCATGTCTGCATACTAGGTGTCCGGGTTAACATCTCGGAGCCCCAGGTTCCCTTCCACAGAAGGAGATACATGAGCTGGCTGCATGATGAAACCAAAGGGTGTGCAGTTGCATGAGAGGAATGAACAATGTGAGGCGCTCACAGGAGGTGCTGAGTGAATGGGCCTTTCAATAATCTTGTATAAAGACGAACTATCATTTAAGGAGTGGTTTCTAAGCTGGGAGTGGTGGTGCACACCTGCACCCCAGTGCTTTCGAGACTGGGCGGGAGGATGGAGTTCAAATCTGTCTGGGCTGCACAGCAAGACCCTATTTAAAAGAAGAGGAGAAGGAAGAACAGGAAATGAGAGAAAGCAAAAAGCAGCAAAACATTAAAAATGGTTTCTGAGTCCTGCTGTAGACTAGCATAATTCAGTAGGTTTCATGTTTCTTTTACATTTTTACTTGCCTATGTGTTGGGTGTATGCATTTGGGGATGGGGCATCAGAGGACAACTTCCTGGAGTCGGTTCTCTTTCAACCATGAGGGTCTGAGGGATCAAGCTTACATTGTCAGGCTTGGCAGTAAATACTTGCCCTGCTGAGCCATATTACCAGCCCTCAATAGGTTTCTAAAAGTGAGGAAATGAACCCTGCACCCTTGCCAGTAGGTCAGTGGAAATGCCTCAGGAAACCCAGGGGAAGGGCCATGTTAAGATAGTACAGCCACAGATAATAGCACAGTTCGGTTACTCTTGTGGTACCTGGCACCATTTTTTTAAAATTAGCTTTTGTTTTCTACTTTTTTTAAAAAATGGAGTGTGCTTGATGTCTCTACAATTTTGTTCAAATGACTGCAGAACCTGGAAAAGATGTTGCTGTTATTGATGCATAATATGCTGCCATTATTGGTCCATATATATATATATATATATATATATATATATATATAGTGTTTCAGTGAGTGCTCACCTGTGCATGCAAATTTCATTTCATCTTTAGTAAGTAGTAAAGTTATATGCTTGCAAAAAAAAATAAGTGACACACTGGAAGACAAATGTCACACAATTTCAATTTTATGTGTAACCTAGAAACGATGAACTTATGGTAACAGAGAGAATTGTGGCTATTAGGCTTCAGTGTGGGTCTTTTAACAATGGGGAAACGATTGGTTTAAGGATATAAAACTGCAGTTGGGAGGAGGGAGAGGGAGGAGGGATTGTCATGTGAAACAAGCTTGTTCCTAATTTGAACTAATAAAAGAATAATAAAAAAAAGATAGTACCGCCACAAATACTGCCTCTTGGAGGTTGTGCCTAGATGAGAGGGCCTGGCTGGGTAGCAGTGATGTGTGGCACAAGGAGAGCTGAGCCAACTGAGGTTTATGTACAGGAGCTGTCCATAAGAGCCCAGCATGTGGCTACAGTAAGATATATAGCATTCAACCCTTGCACAGACTATGAACTGTTGTCTGGAGTGGTGGGAAGACCTGGTGTTGGAGAACTCCTGTTTCAGGCTGGACTCTAGGAAGGGCAGGTGCAGTCTGGGGGATTTCAAATGAAGCTGCCATGAAAGAGGAGAAGCAAGCATATTTATCATTCATTTTTTGTTTTGTTTTGTTTTTTTGTTTTTGTTTTCCCAGATAGAATTTCTTTGTGTAGCTTTGGAGCCTGTCCTGGCACTCGCTCTGGAGACCAGGCTGGCCTCGAACTCACAGAGATCCACCTGCCTCTGCCTCCCAAGTGCTGGGATTAAAGGTGTGCACCACCACCATCCAGCTAAGCAAGCATGCATGCCTTTAGCCATGTCTTCCCTCCTGGCCCTTCACTTGATGGGGGAATGGTACATCTGCCTTGGTCATCCCCTTACCCGTTTGTGGGGAATTGGTGTTCTGTTTCACAAGTGGAGAACCAGAGACTGATTGATCAACCAGCCCAGTTCTAGATATCTTGTGACTGTGCCTCAGCCTCATCTCAGAATTTCACCCTCTCCTCTTGGAGTCTTGGTCTTTTTTGTGGCCTTGAACTTGCTGTGTATTTGAAGATGGCCTTAAAATCTTGATCCTCCTGCCTCCACCTCCTGAGTGCTGGGATTACAGGTGTGTGCCACCACACCCATTGGTATACCCTTGACTAACACGTAGACTATTGTAGTGTCATGAGGGGTACTATAACAAGAGGTCAACCGTAGTCCATAAAGTTAAGATATCTTTATTCAGATAAATACCAGCCAAATGCAAGCCAGAGCATGCCAGGGACAGCAAGGCAGGCAGGCCAGAGAGAAGGGCCCCCATGGGCCTTGCAGCCCCTTAAAAACCTATCCCGAGTCATCCTGACCTCACCTTGACCACACCCTGACAGGCATGATCAGGCACACCTGTAGCCAGCCCTTAGCAGGAGTGGTTACAGTGTCTCCCTACAATTTCCCTTTTAGTCTAAAAGAGGATTAAAACTTAACAGTGTAAAGTATCCAAAATTAACAATCATAAAAGTGAAATACAAGAAGATACAATAATCTGCTATTGCACATCCTAATCCTAACTATGTCCATTTCAGCTAAACCCCAATGTCATCTGAAAGAGGTGTCCAAACCTGAACACCTCCTTCCAATCCCAACCCTAAACAATAGGAAAGTAGCCTTAACTAGGTGTATGTTATCCTTAGTGACAACAATGGGGGAAAGGGGACATAGCATTCTCCAAGTTACTTCCTGTTGAAATGGGATGATGGTAGCCTCGTGGGGTCCTGTGGGAAGAAAATGTTAGTATATGGAAAGTCTCTAATCCAGTCCATGTTAGGTGGGATTTGCTTGATTGAAGATCTAGGTTGAAATCCTCAACTTGATTGAAGTCAGTAATCAAAGCTCTGGTCAGAGTGTCAGTTGAAATTGAGTAAATTGGATCTAGTGCAGTCTAGGAGGTATGGCCCAGTTTCCTTCAGGAGCATCCAGGGATTGCTGTCAGGTAGGTCTTTGTTGGCTGTGTGGGACTCAAACGTTAAGTGTTAGCAGAGAAATGTTTGCTTGTATATGTATACATGCTGGAAAAAGCAATCGTGGAGAAATAATGATTATGAGACGGTGTACACCTTGAAGGAAAGAGCCAAGAAAGACAAAGACGGTCCCCAAATTCTTCTCTTGTTCTGTATTACATCAATTGGCTTCTTGATACAATACAGAAACTCTAAAGTTTAGTTAAATG